GTTGTTTCAGCAGGATAACGCTACTCCCCACACTGCTGTTGTTACCCGGAACTTCCTGAACAACAACAACGTAAACGTCATTCCTTGGCCAGCAAGATCCCCCGATTTATCACCTATTGAGCACCTATGGGATCATCTCGGCCGTCAGGTGAAGCAACGTCAACATCCCCCACAGACAAGAAACGCTTTGGCTCAAGCTCTACAGGAAGAATGGCGTCGCATCCCACATCACGTGATCAGACGTCTTGTGCACTCTGCACGACGTCGTGTGGCAGCATGTATCGCTGCAAGACGTGGACACACTCGCTACTGAGGAGTTGGACACTCAAAGACACTCTGTCAGTACTGATGTGCATGTGTTGTCATGATCGAAAACCGGACATTTGAACCTCCTGTGAAAAACGTCACAAAAACTCTACTTACAGCAAATTGTTTCAATTGTTCTGTAATGACAGTCTGCATAATATGTTCAAAAATTGTATCAAACATTTCAACATTGAATTGCACGTGTTTGTATCATTTTATGATACAAAAATGATCGGGGACGTTTCTTTTGCCCCTCAGTTTATATATATATATATAACAGATATATATCTGCGGATATATCAGGGGCGGATACAGCTTTTTGAGAAAGGGGGGGTGCACACTATTGAGAAAAGGAGGGGTGCACATTTCATTTTCACAAGAGTTTCAATGGTCATTTAACAAACTTTCAGCACCAAAGGGGGGGGGGGGGGGTGCGCACCCCTGCACCCCCCTCTGGATCCGCCTATGTATATATATATATATATATGTCTGCGGATCTAAGTCGACCATATCAGATTAATGTCTATTAATATATCGCTCATCTCCTTCGTCATTCTCTTCCCACAGAGGTTACTTGTCATATCTTCCTACGAACCTCTGTTCTAATACGGCCATATTTCCCGGTTCTCGTAAAATCCCCTAGCGGCAAAAGATCGCAACACGAATTATCTCCCTTCTTTCTATCCAATCAGAACACGTGTTACACAGGAGAAACCTCTGTGGGAAGAGAATGCTCCTTCGTATATACAAGATATTAAGTCCTACGTAGGAGATTGTGAGACCAAACATTTTTTCACCGTGGCCCTACTACGTTTTCGTAGTAATAAACCTTAACTTGAAACTCTACATATTACTGTAAGAGACAGTTATCATGAACATAGAACCGTTCATAGAGAACCGTTCTGTCAAGTTTGTACAGGAGGTGGTGCGCGTGTAAACGTATGAAGTAATATCCGTTACATGTTCAACACGAATGGCGTTATGAATTAGCTAAAAACAAAATCATCTGCGACTGAATATCTTCGATATTCACTGCGCGATCAAAGGTAACGAGAGTTTTTAAAACTCCCAGCGTTGTTGAGTGAGTGACTCAACATGGATTTATGCATAAACACCATACAGGGCATTGATTAAGTTGTAGAAACGTTACACTTCAAAGAGTAAATAAGCACAAGAACTTTCGTTTGATTTCCGTTGTCAGATCACATAATGCCAATGTCATCGCTTGGCGTGGGACAGGAAGTGACTGAAAAGCAAATCAGCTCGGAATACTTTCTGTGTTTCAAAGACAGCTATTTAACATTCATGGCTGGTGTAAATCACATAATGCCAATGTCATCGCTGGGCGTGGGACGGGAAGTGACTGAAAAGCAAATCAGCTCGGAATAGAAGCTGTGTTTCAAAGACAGGTATTTAACATGAAGGACTAGTGCAAAGGACAAGGTATGATAAAGGCCCTTATTGGCCCACAAAATTTCATGATATTCAAAGTTCTACAGCATGATAATTTTAGCATAAAAAATGCTAAATATATTGTTGAAATTACCTCCATATGTTTTCTTTATATGTTTTAGTGCTGTTTTTTCCTCTTTGAAGACCTCAAAGTTAACCTATTTTACAATATCTTCGAAAAACCTGCATTTTCATATTTTCAGAGTGATAAAAAAGTGTGAGCAAAAGCTTGACCCATCCCAATTTTTTTACCACACATGAAGAGAGTAAATTAGAATGCACTCCTAAAAAATTGTGGTGGGTCACGCTTTTGCTCATATCAAAATGTTTAAAAAAGTACATTTTTATTATAACAACATGTTGAGAATGAGATGTTTACTGTATATATTTGCAAGAATGTTGTAAATACTGACTTTTAACACTTACATGGTGTTATTTCAAGCTGTGCCAAGAATGTAATTTCACCTGAAATAGGCCCCTTTGAGGTCAAAACCTGTGATTTTTAGTGCAACGTGATTGGTTATTGTAATAACATGTTGTGAATGAGATGTTTACTGTATACCGGTTGTGAATACTGACTTTTAACACTTACTTGTTAAAATCAAGCTGTGCCCAAAATGTAATTAGACCTAAAATGGGCCCCCTGTGATTTTTCTTGGGACATGATTGGGTATCATAAGTACATGTTGTAAAACTGACCTATAGTTTATGTTTGCAAAGAAAGTTGTGAATAATGAGCTTCTTTGTAATCAAATGGCAGGTAAATGAATTGCTGTCCACAATGTATTGCAACCCTAATTGGGCCCCTTGAAGTTAAAACCTTTTGATTGATGTTGACATGTTTCTTCATCATGAATACCTGTTGTTAAACTGATACTATTTGTATGTAAATAAACTTATAGTTGTATATAAGTCATTATGGCACACTGATATTTCAGATTTCTTGTTATTTTTTCGTGGGAACTGATAAAACCCATTTTGGCCCCTCTGCATTGAAATTATGGCCTCAGATCATTTGAAAAATAGCTTTTTTATGCAAAGCCATCTTGTCTCTAAATAAATAACATGTGTTCAGCCAATTCTGTTTGTGGGCCAAAAACCACCCTTATCATACCTTGTCCTTTTGCAGAAATGACTTTTTAATAACGATCGAAATGGGTTGACCAATATGAATAATCTCTCCATATATGCCTATGAGTATGAAGTCAAGTACATGCAATGCCTTGCAAAAGGTATTTTTGATAAATATAACTTGACAAACGTTCAGCCATTATTTGGGCTGTGGGGTAGCCAAGTGGCTAAAGCGTTCACTCGTCACGCCGAAGACCCGGGTTCGATTCCCCAAATGGTTACTATGTGTGAAACCCATTTTAGGTGTCACCCGCCGTGATATTGCCGGAATATTGCTAAAAGCGGGTAAAACTAAACTCACCCACTCACTTCATTATAACCGACACTGTCCATGTATTTCATGCAGCCCCGACTACAGTTTTATCTTAAACATGTTAAAGTAATTATTACTTGCTTGTTTATTACAATAGTGTTATTGTTATACACAAATACATTTAAATAAATCATTAATACTGTGCCATTCTTTCAAGGTGTATGTATCGTGATATGTATCGTATCGCAGATAAAATATCGCGATACGTATCGTATCGTGACATAGTGTATCGTTCCAGCCATAGTAACGATTGATAACATACCAGAGTAATATCGTTTAGATGTAGATTAAAACAACAATTTTGTAAGTAATTTTTCACTTATGATTTGAAGTGTGAATATCAGAAAAGAGGCAGATATATGTTGAATGTGACACCACATTTAAATTATAATACATATATTATATACCCGTATCAACTCGGAGCATTCATGTCAAGTTGCAAGTTTCGATTTAGGATTCGAGTCGATCATTCCAAACGTCACAATGCGTCACTTTCGCATATGACAAAGTTACATAATCTCACCCAAAATAGGATTTGGGTGTCGGTGTGTGTATGTAAATTGATAGAGGGCGATGTCTTATTGAATGCCTTATTGATCGTCTCCCCAGTGTCGGGTCCAACCTACCTGGACACTTTGTGGGACGTTAATTGCTTCAGCCTGGCAGGGACAAATTGGCAAGAAAACAAACCGACGAGTAAAGTGTTAATTGTGTCGATGGTCAGACACACCTGTTTGTCTATTCCCTTCTTGGGACATTTATAAATAGACCCCATTACCCCAGCGTCGGGGTGGCAACTAATTCTGTGAAGATTTTGCGACAATAAGAGCTATTTAAGAGCACGTATGTGGAATACACACGTTAAATATGTGTACTTATGTGAGTCGCAGAGTGACTTATAAACCTATGTTTCGGTAAGGCAGCAAATGTATATTCTAGGACTTATAGGTTCAGGACTACCTTATCTATTTACTGTGTTACGTTTCACGCTATATTTAGGAAATTTGTATCATTTCGCTTGAATGTCAAACCTGATGGATTTGGAAGCACCACTCGGCATTTTGTATAAATAATTATATATTTTTTAATAACCGGCAATAGAAATTTTGACCAGAGATCTTAAAACGGCGCATTATTGCTCCGTCGGTGTAAATGTAACCTGTTCGTAAGTATTTATTTTAAAACTTTATAATTTAGTTTTAAAGTAGATTTGCTCACAAAGGTCATGTCATTTTGAACAAGCGTAGATGTTCATATCTTGAACAACGCGCGCAGTAAGATGACCGGCAAATCAAATCTTCTCAGTGAATGAAAATATGGATTATGTATTACGGGGTTCATTTCTTGCGTGAACAAATGCAACGATAAAATGGGAGCCCGTTACGTTTCGTGAACATTACTGGAATTGACACTCGGTTACGATTGCGCAGGACGCAACGCCCCAACAGGGCTTGAGCCCGTTACGTTTCGTGAACATTACTGGAATTGACAGATTGGTGACGCAACGCCCCAACAGGGCTAATCGCTTGCATGGTGTTCAGTCACAGTGATTATAGGCCTAGTTACCGTTACGGCCGAGACCTGACTGCGAGTTGAACGCACATTATGCAGCCTAATGGATCGTGAAGCAATTACGTTTGATAACATTATGAAAGAAAATATGTTTGATGCATAACTGATATCATGAAGAGTTATGTTGCGTGTATTTTTATTATCAACCTAAGAATTGTATAGCTAAGCAGAGGCCATATACCGGTCTCTGAGCTAAGTTTCTTGCCCGGCGTCCGTTTCCTACCCGAGCACAGTTTTATAGGAAACCGCTAACTCGAGGGGTTGGGCACCGGCTGTCATGAGGAGAAAGGTCTGTTGTGAAGCCAGCAAAATGTCAACACGATGTAAGTCTCGCTGCACCCCTTGTATTCTCTTTACATATTTGTTAACATTGTTTCTGTTATGTATTTTCAATCAAACCAAATTCGTTATCAGGCTTGCGGATGCAATTCGTCACTTAAGTAACGTCTGTTGATTTGTGTACAGTGGTGAGTCATGATCACTCGCGTGGAGTGGATTTTGATGGAGCGTGTTATTGAATGTTCTTACTTTTCTGTGAATATTATGCTTGCATTATCACCATGATGAAATGAACTCAGTGAACGTATGGAGTGTACGTACAGAACCTGCGAAATCTAGATCTAGTAATCAGCTGTTTAAACCCTCTGTTTAAACATTAAGGATGTCAAGTTCCTGTCTTCTGTTTCTATAAGTATAATAATATTTAGATGAATTTTTATACCACCTTGAGAATGAGTAGAATGTAGAATCTAAATTATTGCCAATGCAATAAATGAATCAGAATTTGTTTTCCTTGAAGTTATACATTTTCATTTCTAACTTGTCCACTTAGATTAAACACTTGTTGATCTTTAAAGTTTTATACACATTTTTTGCAGAAACATTGAAGAATCAGTACCATACCTGTGATGTTGTAATATACACAAGTACTGCAGATGGAGATGTAACGAATAGTCACAGGACATTATCCAGATATCGGTGTGAGGCAACCAGACCGCCATGACTCACAAGTATGTGTTGGCAGCAATCAAGAAGAAGGATGTTGACAAGTTCTTCCAGCTGGTTGATCTGCCAGGATATGATGTGAACACATCGGCAAAGGGTGTTACACCTCTTATTGTGGCAGCCAAAGCAGGTCTGGAACCAGTATATCTGTACATTTTTCTCAAATGATTTAAACAAAAAACAAAATGTACTCCCATCAAATGCAATTTGGCTGGTGTCTTTGTTAATTCTTTTGTAGAGATTTAATGCTGGATGGTAATATAATGTGTCTTACCCCTGAATTTTAGTTGTAAGCACATGACAAGTACACATTGACTGTAGTGCTTAATGCATGTCTGATTTCTTAAAACTGTATGTATACTTCTGTGTGGCACATTGTGACTTAGCACCCCTGGTCATAAGACAAAGCTAGAATCATTGTTTATGAGCCATGCCTCCTGTTTGTAGACCTGTGAGTAGTTTACTCACTCTCTCCATGTTGTAGGCCAGTGTCACTCACTCTCCCCATGTTGTAGGCCTGTGTCACTCACTCTCCCCATGTTGTAGGCCAGTGTCACTCACTCTCCCCATGTTGTAGGCCAGTGTCACTCACTCTCCCCATGTTGTAGGCCAGTGTCACTCACTCTCTCCATGTTGTAGGCCTGTGTCACTCACTCTCTCCATGTTGTAGGCCAGTGTCACTCACTCTCTCCATGTTGTAGGCCAGTGTCACTCCTCTCTCTCCATGTTGTAGGCCAGTGTCACTCACTCTCTCCCATGTTGTAGGCCAGTGTCACTCACTCTCCCATGTTGTAGGCCAGTGTCACTCACTCTCTCCATGTTGTAGGCCAGTGTCACTCACTCTCTCCATGTTGTAGGCCAGTGTCACTCACTCTCCCATGTTGTAGGCCAGTGTCACTCACTCTCCCATGTTGTAGGCCAGTGTCACTCACTCTCTCCATGTTGTAGGCCAGTGTCACTCACTCTCCCATGTTGTAGGCCAGTGTCACTCACTCTCCCATGTTGTAAGCCAGTGTCCACTCACTCTCCCATGTTGTAGGCCAGTGTCACTCACTCTCCCATGTTGTAGGCCAGTGTCACTCACTCTCCCATGTTGTAGGCCAGTGTCACTCACTCTCCCTATGTTGTAGGCCAGTGTCACTCACTCTCCCCATGTTGTAGGCCAGTGTCACTCACTCTCCCCATGTTGTAGGCCAGTGTCACTCACTCTCCCCATGTTGTAGGCCAGTGTCACTCAATATTCCATGTTGTAGGCCAGTGTCACTAACTCTCCCCATGTTGTAGGCCAGTGTCACTCACTCTCCCCATGTTGTAGGCCAGTGTCACTCAATATTCCATGTTGTAGGCCAGTGTCAATCACTCTCCCTATGTTGTAGGCCAGTGTCACTCACTCTCCCCATGTTGTAAGCCTGTGTCACTCACTCTTCCCATGTTGTAGGACTGTGTGTGGTGACAGAGAAATTGGTCAGTATGGGTGCTGACCTGAACGTGAGAGACAGCGATGGGAGGACTGCGCTGCTGCATGGTTGTCTGAACGGCAACAGTGACGTTGTCAGGCAGCTACTGTATGCCGGCAGCGACACAAACAATGTGAGTACAACATGTTAATTGCAGTAGTGATGTCACCCAACATTCATTAATGTTTTGTACTGAGATGTAGAGATTGAACTTTGGAACTGCCCACTGTGTCAAGACAGTTGGGTTCAAATCCCGGATGGGACTCGACCTGACAAATGTACTAGAATATGTAGTTTACAGAGAAAGTGTAATCCCAAATATGACATATATTAGTTTTTCTTGTGTTTAACATATTCCAAGATCATGTTGAAGTAGAATTTCAAGATATTTGTAGGGCAGCCATATATGGTATCTCTAATGTGTCTAGCAAGTACTTTAGGTTAAGTTCAAATGTTGATAAAAAAGATGTGAGTATGTGATTTAACAGTTTGTTTGGTGTTGTTAATGTTTTCATAAAGCAAATGCAAAACAGCCACAAAACACAGCTCATAAGTTCATTTGTGGGGAATTTGAAGGACATTATAAGTGCACTTACATGTAAAATGATTGAAAAACTTGAATCTACTGGCAAGCTGAAGGTAGTCAAAGCTGTACTGCTTGTTGACAGTAAGAAGATAGCTTCAGCCTGGTAACATGCAGTTATCTCTCACTGAGAGTTGCTTGGACTAGAGTTGATTATATTACTGCATGCAAGGATTCTGTTGACTGTCTTTAACTCACTCACTGACTATATCTTCCTACTTTCAGTGCACAGTGAATGGTGACTTTGCCCTCCATGAATCCATCACCAGTGGGGACACAGACACCGTCCAGACTCTGTTAGAAGCGGGCACTGACGTCAACAAGTCTAACTGCATCTCCGGCTACACCCCCCTCATGCTGGCACTGCTCAATGGGTTCGGGGACATTGTCCGCCTGCTGCTCCAATACAATGCCAACCTTAACCAGTGAGTATACACACACAGACATCTAGTTTTGGAATTGTGATGCAACCAGATACAGATACCAGAACTCACCACAAAGACATCTTGTATCAAAACCACTAGATCATGTTGTTTGGCAGAGAACCATGAACCTATTTTGAATTTCTTTTCTGTCTTAAATGATAAATAATGCTCATTTATATTATTCAGCGTCAAATTTAAATGGTATTAATTGATGTTGAAACAGGGCTGTGGGGTTCCTTGTGAAATTATGTTGGTTTCTACAACCTGAACTACCCGTGAAGGTCCGGGTTAGAATTGATCTTCAGTAACTCATGCTTGTGACTAACAGGTGACTAACAGGATCGGGTGGTCAAGCTCGCTGACTTGGTTGACACATGTCATTGGTTCCCATTTGCGCAGATCGATGCTAATGCTGTTGATCACTGGATTGTCTGGTCCAGACCAGATTATTTACAGACCGCCGCCATATAGCTGGAATATTGCTGAGTGTGGCGTAAAACAAAACTCACTCGCTCACTACAACCTGAACTAGGTGTTAGTTTAGGTGTCATGGCAACAACAGAAGTGTTGGCCTGGCATTGTATCAGTGTGTGATGCCATGCAGCATAAGTGACAAGGCAGTCTCTGTAAATAACAATATTAGAAATACATTTCCATGTATACCAGACTTTAACACTACAGTTAAGAAACAGATTAAGTTGCAACTGTGCATGGTCTATACACATACAATGTGATTTTTCGTACATGAAGGTATTCAGTTGACTGCAAATTCAGCAGAATCTTTTCATATCATCTCTGTAATTGAAATACAGGATTGTCTCCCTTCGATTGTTCTCAGGTTGTTAAACATATTGTCAGTTTTACTACTCACCATGCATCAAAACATACATTGTTTCAAGTATCTTCATGGTTCCTGTTTAAAATACGACATGATCACGATCTATGCTGTCAATAAGAGCCCAATGGCCATTGAATTGCAAAACATGAGCCTCTGTCGACCCACAGTCATTAAACTCACATGCTGCTTAGTGTTGTGGATCTTGTGAAGTGAGAACCTGACTGACAACATTCATGATGATTAGTGAAGGTCTCTCAGCTAGACGTTGCTTGTATTGATATTTTATATTGATTGTATTGATATTGTATCATCACTTGATCTCAAGCTTGTTGTGTAACATACTTGCAGTAAACAAGTCTCAGTTTGCTCTAACCAGAATGAATGACTTGCATATTATAGTATGTAAATAATTAACACTTGTTAGCCCAATAAAATAATCTATTCTCTATGGAATTAATAATTCAATAAATGGCTCAAGTAACCAACTGAACTTACCTTTTTGAGCATTGTTCCAATTTGCATGTATCTAGAGTTACCTCCCTTTTACCAAACAAATGCTTTCGATATATTGGAAATTGGTTTGATTTGTTTTTATGCAATTCAAACATTAGGGTTATCACTATTATAATATTATCAGTTGAGAATTAGACAACTTTAATAAGTTTGAAAAAGTTATTTCTATATTTTGAAAATGTCTTTTGTCAGAATTGACTTTTGAATTGTCTAACATGGGGCTAGGCATTGCTGCTACAGGTTACAGGCTGCCTGGAAGAAAGATTCACAGCCTTTCAGTTGATATTTGCTTGATTGTTTGCTTGTTTGGATTACTGGCAGATAAATGTATAAACTGTAATTCCCAAACTGCAATGATTACATGAAATATGTAGTCTGACTGCTGTGACTTCAGTTGGTTTGTTGTAAGAATGTGTTTTATAAACTGTTTCCTCTGTTCAGGTCCATCATGGAAGGTGACACAGCTCTTCATCTGGCTGTTCAGGTTGCTCCACCAGATGTGATCGCGGATCTGATCCTTGCTGGGTGTCACATGGACATTCTGAACAACATGGGGGGAGACACCCCTCATTGTGTCAGTGTACGAGGGCCGCATCGATGCTGCGCGCTTGTTGATCCTCTCCGGCTGCTGCATCGATAAGTACGACTACTTCTCCCCACTCTGTGTCGCATGTGTGCAAAACAATGCCATCATGGTTCGATATCTCCTCTCTGAAGGTTACAACGTCAGCAAAGACAATTCAGTGAAACAGAATCTATTTTTCAAATTTGAGGACAACTACCCTGAACTTTTCTCCTTCATATTTGAGGAAAGATGTGTGAAGCCCATGAGCCTACGCGAGATCGCACGGGTTCGCGTCCGTCGGTTACTAGGTCCTGACGTGTCCGGTCGTATTTCACAACTGTCACTTCCTGGGATCCTGAAGGAGTGGGTGGTACAGGATGTGATCTACTGAGTCCTGAATCCATCACCATCAGTGTAGGGGTTAATATCAAAGACACTCAGACCTCTCCTCACACACTATGAGCCTATGCAAATCGGACAGGTTTGCTTCCATGGGTTACAGGATCAGTGTATGGGTGAATATCAAAGACACTCAGACCTCTCCTCACACACTATAAGCCTATGCGAGATTGCAAGGGTTCGAGCCTGTCATTTACTAGGCCTTGATGTGTCTGGTCAAGGGGCGGTGGGGTAGCCTAGTGGTTAAAGCGTTGGCTCGTCACGCCGAAGACCCGGGTTCGAATCCCCACATGGGTACTATGTGTGAAGCCCATTTCTGTTGTCCCCAGCCGTGATGTTGCTGGAATATTGCTAAAAGTGGCGTAAAACCTAAGTCAGTCAGTCAGTCAGTCTGGACAAATTGGCACAAATGTCACTTCCTGGAATCCTGAAGGAGTTGGTGAGGATGTGACATACTGAGTCCAGAATCTGTCGAGATCAGTGTAGAAACTTGGACCTCACACACCATGAGCCTATGTGAGATCGCACAGGTTTGCTTCCATGGATTACTAGGTCCTGACGTGTCCAATCATATTTCTGAACTGTCACTTCCTGGCATCTTGAAGGAGTGGGTTATACAGGATGTGATGTACTGAGTCCAGAATCCATCACGATCAGTATAGGGGAATCATGTAGGGACACATTCAACTCTGCTCATTTACTCGCCCACTGTTTTCTATTCTTCCAAGTTTCCACTAAAGCAGTTAAAGTCCTGTGTTTATTGTAGGTCTATACATATTTATCACCTCAGACAGCCAACATGCTGAGATCATATAAACTGGGCAGTGAACAATTCCAGACAGTTGTAACTTTGACAAACTGTATACTTGTGTGTTATGTATTTGCAGTGTAACCATGAACTATGTTTTCTACTTGCAGAAAAGTTATTGACTCTTGTTTTTAACTTTCCTATTGAAAGTTTTACCTTTTTAAAATAATCATTAAAGTGTGATATTTATTTATAATACTGATTCCAATAATTAAGAAAAGATTGACATCGGCTCTCAAGCTGTTTATGCAAAGTTTACAATGTCACGTTAGAATATTCTGAGAAACTAACACAGGTAGTTGAAGTATTGAGGGTAAGATTCAATATGATTTGTATACACTGACTGTCATTTTATTGAAGGAAAGTGTTTCTCTGGAGGAGGTTGAGTGTATAATTTTTTCACTGATTTTTATATATTTACAATGTGTGATAAAGAATTTGTATAGGTCAATGTATCATTTTTAATGCTCTTGACAAACTTTATTTAAGATATATTTTGACATGTATGCAGAAATGCAATGTCCACATCTGTTTGTCATTATTGAGATGTATACTGCTTGTCTTTCTGACGTCTATTCATTAGAATTACTTGCCAAACTAAGTGTGTGTCAGTCACATACAAGGTAATGAAATTGCCATATAATTATTAACTTAATGGATTTTTAGAGTAAGACAAGATTTAAGTCATATTGATTCTTTTATGGAGTTTTGTGAAATTATACTAGTTTTTTGTTCCATAAATCTCTGAGACTATCTTGACACCCATATGTTAACATAGGCAGGAAATGTACTATGATTGGATTATGGAACAGTTACAGAAATCATTTCATGTTAAAAACTGTACAAAGATTTTGAAAATAACAGGATCAAAAATATGAAAGAATAGGTGTTTCTCTGAACGGGAAAAAGGTGTGTCCAAGGTGCTTGTTTCAATTTGAGTGTTTGTTCACAGACATGACCAAGATAATATATTGTTGTTATGCTTATTTATTTACACAAGATCTGATTTTATGGATTTTATTATTCAATCTTTCCTTACTTTCTTGCCATTGCGATGTGATGTGTTTCTCTCACTAGGAATCACTACATATAGTATATATATATGCAATATTTTACCCATTCCTTTTAACAGTATGTTCCAGTCATATTTGTAAATATGTCATTGTTTGAAAAACCTGTGAATTGTATAGTGTTTCACCAGATGTTAAAATGTATTAAGTGCACTGAAATATTTTTGTGGTAGGAGTGTGTACAGATGAAAGGTTACATAAGTGTCATGATACTGTTACTATGGTGACAATGATAACTGCACTAAAATGTTAGCTTTAAAGACATTTAGCTCTGAACACGACAGAGAGTCTCTTTGCAAGGAGTTATGGTCTTATGTGTGCACTGGGGTATACTCTCTTGTGTTTATATTTCATGGTGGCACTGTCACAGAGATGCACAAGTGTCAATCCGTTACGTGTTGAATCCGGATATCCTGAATCAATAATTAAGAAATATTCAAAATTGTGTTTGTTTTATTTATAGTGTCCACTGCCACCTTCTCCATGACACTGATGGCCCAGCAGGGTTAGATTATTGCAATTCTCTTCGACAGAGTTGTGTCCCTTGTTCATGCCAGGATCAGGTGAGCTGGGACCAGCAGGCTTCAAATCCCAAATTCTCATATGTCATGATCATGTCTGGCTCATCATACCTGAGTTCATGGGTTTCACCAAATCAGTGGAAGATCTTCATTCCCTCGGGCAGTGGGGTAGCCTAGTGGTTAGAGCATTTGCTTATACACATCGAAGACCCAAGACCCGTGAAGGTTCGGGTTAGAATGAGTTTTCAGTAACCCATGCATGTCATAAGAGGCGACTAACCGGATCGGGTGGTCAGGCTCGCTTACTTGGTTGACACATGCGCAGATCGATGCTCATGCTGTTGATCACTGGATTGTCTGGTCCAGACTCAATTATTTACAGACTGCCGCCATATAGCCCGAATATTGGTCAGGGCAGCAAAGACCCGAGTTCGATTCCCCACATTGGTACAATATGTGAAGCCCATTTCAGGTGTTCCCTGCCATAGTATTGGTGGAATATTGCTAAAAGCAGTGTAACACTAAACTCACTCGCTCACTTCATCCCTTTCAACTGTTCCATCATTAAATTACTGCTCCATGGTAACTGAAATACTTTTCAAAGTGACCTTAGATCTGACTCACTGTCTACTGCATAAGCCTTGACAGGTTAGAATCCTCAGCACTGAGACCCGTTCCTCGAGATATGCATTGATGCAGCCTGAGAACCGTGCAGCTGATTACATACATTAAAGAACAAATATGCACATTCATTAATATCGTCTCTTGTCTTAAACCTGGAAATCTGTAACCATGACATCGGCCTACTTACTGGGAACTGTGATAAAGTGATGTTGTTCTTGATGTTTCAACATGACACTGTACTTTATGCAACTCATTGTAAATACTTATTTCATCTAATTCTGTTTTTAGTATTGTTTTCTTTTGTTGAGTTTTATAGTTTATGGTATTAATGTTGCAAACCATAGACCTAGAACAAAGAATTGACTTCAGTATATGTGATGTTCCAGAGTTATTAACATAAGAACCAGCATCCCTTTAGTGGTTAGGTATGGCAAAATGCTGAAACGTATTGAAGTCATGTTTTAGAAATACATATGTCACAATGATACAGATTGTTGTCTCAATGTTTGACTCTAAACGAATCAAACATCAGTTCAATGTCCGTGGCTTCATACAGCTCTGTAGTGCAATACAAGCCTTTTCTGTTCACCCGAATACAGTAGTCTCTTGGTGACTGTGTCTGAAATATTGTGTTTGTTTTATGGAAACACAAAAGAAACAAAATGATTTGTCAATTAAATGTTACAGAATCACTTGTAATTTATTTATCATTACTTTGTGAAAACCATGCTTAATACAAACAGTAATACTACCAGAAACCTAGACTAAGGCTTAGTCTCTGAATATATATAATTTTGATAGTAACAAACAAGCCTATTTATATTGAAAAGGAGCCCTAGGGAGACCAGAGATTCAGAACCTGAGGAAATCTAGACTTGCTTTATTTAGGGCTTTAGCACTGCAGAGAGGGCTTGGCAGTAGGGAAATTAATGTGGTTCAGGGACTGTGAGACAGACTACCAGAAACCCAATGATAATCCATCTGAAATAATTCTTTTTTATTTTGAAATTATGACCGCATATCTTTATCATTGGTAAATCAATGATTATGAACAACAACATGCTGTGTGGCTATATACAGCAAATGTACAGGGTAGATATATTGATGTTGATGAAGTTAATACTAACTGCTAGATACTGCTCTGAAAAATATGATAATCAAAATATTGGAAATTGGTATGGCTGGAGAAATGAATATCTTTCTTTGTATTTTTTATAAATACATTTCTGATAAGAGGTCACTAAAATGTAAATGTTTTATTACAAATATTATTCTCTTCACAATCAACCTATGTATTGTGTATGCCCTTACTGTAAACCACTCATGGAGTGGTATCCATTGTAAGGTTACTTTTACAGATTGAGGTAAGTGGGCACAGAATATGTACAATATTTAAACAGAGATGTAATACAGTGGTTATATAATCCAGAATGCTATGTGTCAGCGCTGATGGAGATACATTTAGCTGCTTCCAGTGTACTTCCATACAGGCTATATTCAACTCCTTGTTGACAGGGCTCCACAAATATGTGATTATACATTCTGATGAAGTTACAGTGGTCATTATATATGACTCGGCCATAATGTAATGACATCTATAAATAAAAATAAATACTGATAATTAAGTTCTGTATTTATTGATCACAACATTCACCTTTACAAAGGGAATGAATTACTATTTTCACCTGTCTGGCAGACTGGTTAGTCATCTAAAGGCTTGCAAAGCCGGCAGAGTGTTATGATGGTTGTTTGAATTTCAAAGTGACAGGGTACAATTGTCTCTAAAATGGTTATTAGTCTGCTATTTTGTCACTAACGTTTTACCATACTTTACAGCACCGACCGCCTCCATGGTGTAGTGGTTAGAGCGTCCGCCCGGAGAGCGGAAGGTCGCGGGTTCGATCCCCGAACGCGTCATACCAAAAGACGTTAAAATATGGTACTTGTTGGTCCCGCTCGGCATTAATGGGTACAACAAGGACTGGTCGACTCGGAGTCAGTATAATGTGTCCGAGTGGGGTATTCATGCTTCACTGCGGCATGGTATCTCAGTGGGCTAGCACTATAAAACCAGCTTCAGTCTGGGCTAGTACAAGCAGCCGCACATACACATACACACGCATGCACGTCGTCATATGAGCGAAATATTCTCCAGCGCGACGTTAAACCCAATTTCACCTCACCTTACAGC